CCCCCCCCAGTGTTCCTAAGAGCCACGCCCCCTCTTCTTCATCGTTTCCATTTCCATATATTCCCCTCCTAATCTCTTACAGTTCTTCAATTCTCTGCTTTGATTCTCTTCTTCCATGGCGATTTTTGCTACTAGGTCCAAGCGTGTCACGGATCCTCTCGGCGATAAGGTCAAGGCTCGCTTGATTGGCACTGATCACTTCCCGTTCAGTTACGTTAGCAGCGGTAGCGAGCACTCTGCTCACCACTCTGACTCGCCCTGTTTGTCTGAACTTGTTCACGGATTTCTTCACGATGATGTTCATGAATCGTCTATTACTGCTGCTGCTGCTACCACTCTGTCGCATGCCTACGATTCTGACTCTGATTTTATCGAATCCGCGCCCGATCGTGGAAGTTCGATCGATGAAATCGTTAGGTCTTTGAATTTGAACAATGTCGATTCCTACAGGAAATTACTCGTGCATCATCTGTGTATGGCTGTTGAGAACTTCTCGCTTCTTCGATCCGATAAATCTGTTTTTCTTAGAAATGTTATGGCGTTTCTGCGTCAGTTAGGGCATAATGCTGCGATTTGCAAAACGAAGTGGAGTTCCTCTGGTAGTTTAACTTCCGGTAACTACGAGTTCATCGACGTCGTACGATCGGCCGCTGGAAAGGCGCAGGTTAGGTATTTTGTTGAACTGGACTTGATTTCGGAGTTCGAGATCGCGAGGCCGACGGTTCAATACTCAAGAATGCTGCAGTGTTTGCCGAGGATCTTCGTTGGTACGACGGATGAATTGATGAGAATCGTGAAAGTTTTGTGCGACGGAGCGAGAAAATCGCTTCGAAGCAGTGATTTATCGGTTTCTCCTTGGAGGAAGAACCGTTACGTTCAGAACAAATGGTTCGGACCTTACCGTCGGACCGTGAATCCGATTCCTGAAAAGTCATCGGCGACGGAGACCGCGGACGCGGCGTTTCGATGCGTTGGATTTAACGACGTCGTTTCGGACGTCAACATCAATCACCAGTTTTTTGTCCGGACGAGATGATAAGGATCGAAATGATTACAAATCAGAATAAAGCAAACCAGAAATCAATAGCGTGAATAGCAACTCTATCTTTTTTTTTTTTTTTTTTTTCTTTCTTTCTATTATGGATATTTATTTTTTTAATAATACAATTAAAAAATTTCAAAAAAGGAAATGACAAATTAAATTAAATGGGTCGGCTCTACCGAACAAGAATATATCCAAGATTTAAACATAAAATTATTTAAATTTGTTAAGAACTCACTAGAACTAAAAAATAATTAATTAACTTTCAAAAGATTGTGGAGATCTGTTCAAAATAAAAAGTTTAAGGAAGAAGTCAATAAATACTTAAAAATACATAACAATATTCGGATATGCTAGATTAAATATTTAAATTGGCTTTAATTTGATTATAGTTTAACCAAGATATTTTTTATTTTTTAAAAAGATTTAATATCAACTGGACATGTGAGTTGGTAATTAATTGTTTCTAGAATTTGGTAAAAGAAAAAAGAATTATAAAATTATAATTAAAATTTTTTTAATAAAAAAATAAAATATAATTTATATGAATTTAGTAGTTAGAGAATTATGGGAAAATAGAAGGGTAGAAGAGAGAATAAGGAAAGTGGAGGGACCAAAAAATAAAGATTTGAAAAGGATGGTTGTTAAGGATGAAAGGGATAAAAGGATAAGAAATTAAAAATAAAAGAAAGGATAAGAAATTAAAAATAATAAATAAATAAAAGAAAGGATAAGAAATTAAAAATAATAAATAAATAAAAGAAAGGATAAGAAATTAAAAATAATAAATAAATAAAAGAAAGGATAAGAAATGCGGCGAGTGGAGAACGCCCACGTGGGTAAGACAGTGGATGATGGAGCAGAAAGCCACGTGAGACAAGTACGAGCGTGACGGGGACACCTCTGGCTCTCAATCTGTTCTTTTGGTGTAACCAAACGTTAATGTATTTGCTTTTCCTTTTTTTTTATTTTTTTATTTTTATTTATTTTTATTTTTATTTTTTAAAACCAGTTGTTTTTTTTTTTTTTTTTTTTTTTTT